GAGCTGGAGAGTTGTGAACAAATGTGAGTACATTATGTCGACCGAGCTCCCTCCGTCGACGAGGAGGCGCCTGACGTCGAAGTTTACCATACGTGCACGTATGAGCAAGGGTATGTTGGAATTGGGAGATCCCCCGGGTAGTTCCTCGAGGTAGAATGTGATCGGGTTGGAGCGGCCTCGGAATCTGTCGAGCGTGCTCATCTTGCCGGAGTTGCCAGCGATGAGTTCGTCGAATTTTCTTTTCACAGATCCTATGGACAGACTCCTCGTAGCTCCATCAGAGATGACCATGGCTCTGGGGAAGTATTCCCATCGGCTGGTTGGTCGGATTGGCTCGCCGACTAAGCTGGGCGCTTCGGGAATGCTGAATCCTCTGCTTGCGAACCAATCTTCGGGGCGGCTGACGCACAGCGCGACCTGGAGTCTCTCGCCGTCCTCTGGGGAGGGGAGCTCCTCGATTTTCTTTGCCTCCGGAGCCTCCGACCTGGGTGGTTCACCTCCCCGGGTATATCGCTTTAAGTGCCCATCTTTGATTAGGATTTCGATCGCGTCTTTGAGATGGATGCAGTCCTCCGTTACATGCCCGTGGGTCCTGTGGAACCGGCAGTACTTTGACTTGTCCACGTTGGGTTTGGGCGGCGTTGGTCGTGGAAAACGGACACCTCCCTGCACAAACTCGGTTTTAGCGCATTCGGCCAGTATGCGTTCGCGCGAAGCGACCAAGGCGGTGTACTCGGTGAACCTTCCTGCCGGGCCGCGTGACTCGCGCTGTTCTCGGGGTTCGCGGTGGCGGTCATCTCGACGGCGGTCCCCTCCTCGTCGGTGGCTCGAAGCTCCGTCGTCTCGGTGCCCGCGGGGGGCTTCTCTGTCTCGGGTGTCGCGAGCGGAGTTGGCCGCTTGTGTTTCCTCGAACCGGATGTAATGGGCGGCCCTGTCGAGGAAGTCTTGGAGGGACGTGGGCCGGTGTATGCCTACGGCCTCGTAGAATTTGGAGTCGTGGCGCAGGCCTTGCTCCATTAGGTAGCGTTTCATTTCGTCGGAAGTCGTCACCTGTACGGCTTCCCGAGTAAACCTTTCGATGTATTTCCGGAGGGGTTCGTCGGGGCCTTGGATGATCGCCCCGAGGACTGCTTCCGTCTTCGGGTGACGCCGGGATGCTGTGAAGTGTTTGGAGAATAGGTCCTTCAAGACCCTCCACGATGTAACTGATTCGGGCTCCAGGCTTTTGTACCAGGTCATAGCGCCCTTCCTCAGAGTCGTCGGGAAGAGTCTGCATTTAATAGCTCCCCGGACATTGCGGTAGTCGAGCATAGCCTCGATGTCTTCCAGATGATCGTCCGGGTCGGAGGTGCCGTCGTACGTTGACAGCGTCGGTGGCTTCTCCATTCCTTGGGGTATAGGGGCTGCCATGATCTCCCGGGATAGTGGGGTGCGATAGTCATCCTCGTCGCTGTGCGCTGGGGATCTCAGGGGAGATGAACCGGCCGCGGCGTGTCCCGGGTTTCGGGTTCTCGATCTCCGGCCTGAGTTCCCGGCTCGGGTTTCCTCGGTTGGGGTCGCCGCGGCGTTCTGGTTCCTCCCGCGACCATGTCTTGCCGGGGATCTGGTGCGCTCCCGTGTCGCTTGGGGGCGGCGTCTCTCCACCCGCGGTCGGCGGTTCCTGGGTCGAGGTGAGGGGCTCCTCGAACCTCCGTTCTGGTCATCCCGCTGGGGGTACCTCGGGGAGCCGCCGCGTTCCAATGCTCCAATTCTAGCGTTCTGTTGGGACAGCAGCTGGTTCGTCTGGTTGATGGCTGCAAAGAGAGCGGCTACCGTTGGGTCCGCTCCCGCCGGGATGGGAACGGGGTGGAATGCCGGCGGGCTCGGGGGGCGATGGTCGGCATGCAGGGGCCGTTCCTCGGACGATGGTGAGGCAGTTTGCCCGTCTCTTTCGTCGGCTTCATTCAGGCGCGCCGTTCCTACCTGCTTCCCGTTGGTGGCAGTGCTGAGCGCGAGATCGTGCGGAGTGTCATCGCGGCGTGGGCTGGCCATGACCGTGGAGGTTTGGTGAAACTTTTGGTTTTTCTGCTCGGAGTAACGGGGAAGTTTCAGTTCCCACAGACGGCGCCACTGATCTGACCAGATCAGGAGGGATCACGGACTGGCCACACCTTGCTGGACGGTTATCTGTTCGCCGAGGTAAGAACGAGAAGGGGGGTGTACCTGCAAAGCACTCCGATGCCAAAGTCAGAATTTGGGCAGAGTGAGAGCAAGAACAGAAAGTTGGGTAAGAAGTGGATTACCTGACCCTCTTGAAGAAGAGGGTATTTATAGAGAGACCCCAGCGCTGGGCCAACGGTCATTCGAGGTGGGCCAGACGACCAGGCCCAACCCCAATGACTGCTAGGGCTTACGTGGCGTAGTGAAGACCAGGACGTGGTCTTCGCCCTAGTTCAACCGCTCCTAGGTCTCCGGAAAGTGGGTTTGACCTGCTCTTTCGGAGGTGGGCGGTTGGCCGATGACGTGTCCCCGCGGAGGGGAGCACGTGGAGAACGCGCGCCGAGCACGTTATTCTCCCGCGGAAGGAGCCCGGGTAGTCTTGCTCGTCCGGTGTGACGGGCGACAAAGGGGATGCGGTGTGATGGCTTGTGCCCGGCGGACGGTCCTGCTCGTCCGAAGGGGCGTGTGCCAGGTGCGCTCAGTTCGCCTGTTGGGCCGTATTTGGTATTGGGCCTGCCGAGGTGAGGCCCACACCGGAACATTAATATTTTAAAAACCGAATCGAATCAGTTAGGTTAATAAGTTGAATTGAGAACTGGAGACGAATTCGATTGAATTTTTTAAAATCGCTAGTGGGTTAAAATTGAGATTAAATAAAAAAAAACAGATTAAACCGTCTAAAACTATTCGAGTCAAAGAACCGAAATCGGTTTTGAAAAATCGTTTGGTTCAAAAAAATTCATCAAATTGACTATCCTTTAAAAAAAATTATTAAAATTTTAATATGTTAATTTCAAAATTTAATATACATCACAAAAATTAATTAGGTATGTTTTTTATAATCATACAAACTTTTAAGTTTTGTCACTATATTATAGCACATTCCTTCATCATTATGACGTTTTTTTCAAATATAGTCAGGATGTACAACTCTATTGATTGTCGTTTAAATCAATATTATTTGTTTATTAAGACTTGTTTGTTCTAGCTCAACATAAATTCAATTTTTTTGTTGTTTAATGAAATATATAGCATTATCTATATTTTGGTATTCTATGTTATTATGTATTTTTAATTATTTGAATTTTTATTTTAGTTATTATATTTTATTATTTTAATTTTGATTTGAATTAGTTTAATTTATTTTGTTGTGATTTTTTAATTTTGTCAAAACATTTTTAAATGATACTTGAAATGAAGTGTAGAACTATGTTAATGTTATGTATTATTGATATTGTTGTATTAAATTTGTAATAGACTTTGAAATATTTATTTTATTAATTGAGAACATATAATAATATAATATGTGACATCTCTATGAAATTTGGTTTTATATTATTAATTTATTTAATAAATGGTTCGATCGTAAGTTTAATCGGTTTAATCAATTGAATCTTTTATCATAAAATTTATCGGTTCGATATCTGATCTAATTTTTAAAATATTAATATATATATATATATATATATATATATATATATATATATATATATATATATATATATATATATATATATATATATATATATATATATATATATATATATATATATATATATATATATATATATATATATATATATATATATATATATATATATATATATATATATATATATATATATATATATATATATATATATATATATATATATATATATATATATATATATATATATATATATAGGCATAACTAAAGTTTAACAACTTTTTATTCTTAATAAAAATTTCTAACTACAATAGTATCAAATTTTAAAACGGAAAAATTTAATAATAATCATTTTTATACTAATTTTTAAATATTTATAAAAAGGTTAAAAATGAACTATTATATAAACTTTTTTTTTAAATAATTTTTTTTAAATGGTATAACAAAACACATTTTTTATATTAAAAAACTATTGTTAAATTGTTATAGTTTTAGTAATTACTTTATTATATTTATTTTAATAAACTTATATAATACATGAATATTTGTAAAGTACACCATACCACTATTATAAAAGAAATATTATTTTTAGTTAATTAAATACTTATTATATAAATCAAATATTAAATAAATAAAAAATAAATTTAGTTACAACACTGTTCGGAAGATATTAGATCCTAACCATTACCAGTGCATGCTTTACGAGGGTAAATTCGTCTTTCCATTCCCCCGTTTTCTCGGAACCGCACACTGCTCGGTTAAGACTTCACTTTTGTCACGTTGGACTGTTCAAAACACGCGTGTCCCAATTTAATTGCCGCATTCACTTTATCACAATAATAAATAAATAAAATTCCAAATATTTTCATATAATTTCTAAATTCTCGCAATTTTTTACCTTAAAAAATACAATCCCAAAGTTCCTTTTTTTCTTCATAATATTTCCAAAATTCTTCCCTTTTAATCCAACCATCCGAAAAAACAAAAGAAAGAAGAAAAAATTGTTTCTGGGTTGGTGAAGCATTCCTCGTTTGTTTGTTTCTTCACACGCTTTTCCAATAGGGCTGTCTTCTCAAAACGACATTGGCTTTGTGTCGTTTACGTTGACAGCCCACTTGCGTAACCCTTTTTAACATTCAGGTACCAATTCAATAGAATATTCTTATAATTATTCTTTGCTTTGCATATTCTTTATCAATCGTTGCGTTTCTCCTAATTAATTGGATTCGAATTATACCCTCATCAACCCTTGATTTTTTCTGTATTGGGTTCGTTTTGTTTACCCTAAAGCATTCAACTTTGCCATCAATTTTCGTTTTTCATTCTGGGTATTGCCAATTTGTGATATCGTTAAGGGTTGAAGGTTTCTGCAATGAGTTATTTTTCTGGACTAATTCAGAGACCCCTTGTGGCTGCTGCCGCTGTTGCGGTTGCTTCTTTCTCTACTGATGCGTCTGATAAATTTTCATTCTTTGGATCGTCCCGTGATGATTGTTCCACTTCCAATTTGGAATGTTCTTCTAGTTTTACCTCTTTGCAGGAATCACATTCTTTGTTTGCTTCTAGTGTTTCTGATTCAAAACTTGCTGAGTTTTATTTTGTGAACAAAATCCGGGTTCCGGTTCCTAATGTCAAGTTTCGGGTTCCGGTTTCGGGGTCGAATTTTTATAATTCTTCAGTTGCTTTGTCACCGGGTTCATTGCCGGTTGTTCAGAGTTTGTATCGTTCGGCTGAATTGACTAGGTTTTCACGGTCGTCGTTGTCTGGTTGTTCGAATGGTGTTTCGGATTCAACTGAGTTTCTGTATAAATGGCATTTGCCTGAACCCAATACTATTGGTGGTTTATCTGGGAAATCGAAGACAGTGGTGGTTTTGCTTGGATGGTTAGGTGCAAAGCAGAAACATTTAAAGAAGTATGCAGAATGGTATACTTCTAAAGGATATCATGTCATTACCTTTACGTTTCCGATGGCGGAGGTAATGAGTTATCATCCTGGAGGAAAAGCGGAGCAAAACGTTCACATGCTTGTGGATCACTTGGCTGATTGGTTAGAAGAGGAGAATGAAAAGAATCTTGTATTTCATACTTTCAGCAACACTGGATGGTTAACGTGAGTGCGATTTTGTTCACGTTTTTGTTTATTGTCGTTGTCTATTTTCTGTTGCTTGAGTGTTTTGGTTTATGTTTTTTCAGGTATGGTGTTATTTTAGAATGGTTTCAAAAGCAAGACCCTTCTTTGATGGAAAAGATTAGAGGCTGCATTGTAGATTCTGCACCAGTTGCGAATCCTGATCCACAGGTAAAGGCGATTTTCAGACTCTGGTGTCCAATGCATTTTATTTTATTCTCTGGTGCTCGTAATGTTAACCCGGTTTTGTGAAAAATGTTAACCTTTTATGCTATATTCTGATGTTAATTGTTGATTATCTTTTCAGGTCTGGGCCTCGGGTTTCTCTGCAGCATTTCTCAAGAAGAATAGCATAGCTACAAAAGGACGTGTATCCACGGACGAGTCTGGCATTAAAGTATCAATCAGCAGCAATGAAGATTTAGGACTAAAACCTGCACCAACAGAAGCAGCTTTGCTGTTAATACTAAAGAAATTGTTCGAGGTCGTTCTGCATCTCCCTGCAGTGAATAGGTAACGACTCCTAAATCACGCATTAGCTATTGAAAAACAAATCATTATGTAGAAATTTCTCATATGAATATTTACGATCCTAACTATAATAATCTTGTCCAAATGCAGGAGGCTCTCTGATGTTTTGAGCATGCTATCTACAAAGCAACCAGGTTGTCCACAACTGTACATGTATAGCTCTGCAGACAGAGTTATTCCTGCCGATTCAGTGGAGTCGTTTGTCGATGCACAGCGTAAGGCTGGACATGATGTGAGGGCTTGCAATTTTGTCTCATCACCCCATGTTGACCACTTTCGAAATGACCCGAAATTGTATACTTCTCAGCTCAATCAGTTTTTAGAGGAGTGTGTTGCTGACCATTGTGAAACTCACTAATTCATTGCTTGGTTCACTCATACAGCATATAGTTTTTCTTTTTTGATTTTTTAGAATAATTATTCCATTCATGGATGATGGTAGGATTTTCAAAAGTCCACTATTTTAGGGGATCACATAATTGTTCACTGTCAACTTATCACCAATTCATTGATAGTGCAAATGAAAGATTGCACATTGCAAATTTCTGTTGTAAATAATGTATTTATATTTGGTCTTTTTCTGTTGCAAATTTTTGTGTTTTGAGTGAATGATACATTATAGAGGCTTAAAAACTTAGCCATATAATGTATTTATAAACATTGTGTTATATAGGCATACAATAAAGAATATTAATCATAAAGGATTATGCTAAGGAATAATCTCTCGAAATATATGCTAAGAGAATATGCAATAATATGCTTACATACTATTTCTATATTAATATTTTAATATTAAATATACACTTCCATCCCGTATTGAAACATGTAAGTCTAAGTTTTTTACATATATATTGATTGAATAATGTGCTATTAATAAACTGTATTTATACGATGAATATTATTTTTTTTATAAATAAAAAATAATAATATTTATAAAAAAAATATTTTTATTTTAAAATTATTTTTATAACATAACATAAATATAAAACTTATCATTAAACGATTTTATCATTCTATTAACCATAAAAATATAAATTATTAACAATATATTTTACTTATAATTTATTAACCAAATTTATTACTTCATTAACTAATAAATTACATAACAATAACAACTATTTGACACTAAAATTAAAAATATAATAATCAATAAATTACATAACAATAACAAATATTTGACACTAAAATTTAAAATATAATAATTAGTCTTTACACTCTATTAATCAATTTTATTTGTTTTATTTCATAATTTAATATCAGAACTTGGTTAATAGAGCGTAATGATCGGTTATTATATTTCATGTCAGAATTTGATTAATGTTAGTGATGTTCAGTAATTAAAAGTAAACATGTTATATCGTATCCATACGGGCTGATGCGATACTACTGTCGTTCAAAAATAAATAATGTTTTAAGTGAGTTTTTAAAAGATGTTTGATTTGTAAATATAATAGTAAAAGAATTTAAGAAACGATAAATGATAAACTAAATTTCTCAGATGATAAAATGTGCTGGGATTGAATTTCACCCGCCGAATACGTATAAATTTACTGATCATTTTCTTATATAATCTTAATGTTTATTCATATCAACTCGTATCACTCACAACAAATTTTATGTCTAAAATCATGTCGAGATTTCTACCGTATTGTTTAATCGATGATTTCTCAATCTCTTAAACAATCTCTGATAGTGTGGAACTTACGTGAATATTATACTCTAACCCTATGTCTAGCGATCAAAGTTTAACAAATATTATCCTAGATTGAGATTGAAAAGGTATTTTCCAATAACAATTCGAATTCATAAATTTAATCAGTAAAACAAAGATAATATTTGTTAATGATAAACTAATGAATTATATAATATTATGATCAACAAGTAAACATGCGATTCGAGGAATTACATTCAATCTTAACACATGAGAAGGCAATTAGTTAGCCATCATCATAGTAGCTTGATACAACATGGAGAAATTGAAATGAATCAACATCGACAATAATTTCCTAACTTTTGATGCGTATCCAGCTCGTATTCTTCAATTACCCTTTCTTACCTCTATTATAAGATATTATAGTGACACTAGTTTCCAAAATATCCCCAAGTTTCTATTTTTGTCCCTATTTGTAGATTTTGTGTCTTGCTACTTTTGCCTGGCGAGCCGGTGTCTTGCTGGGCGAGCTTCCTTTTCTCCGTCCTTAAGTTTTTCTAGCTACCAGTTCAATCCGCATTTCCTCGCCCGACGACTAAGGGCTCGCCATATGAGCTTTTTGTCTAGTTCCTCGCCAAGCGATCATGAAACATTTTCTTTCTGGAAACTCTCTGAGTTGTATCGCATGTTGTTCGCTGGGCGACCATGAAACATTTTCTCTCTATAATCTTCTCGCATAGGCCTCGCTTCTGGATCTCCTTGCTCTTGCCCCTTGCTCTGGAAACTCATTTGAACCCTGTAAGCCATGTGCTCAGACTCACAGTCTAAGATTTTCTGCTTGATCAACAACTAATCAAGACTTTCAATGCTCTAACACATAGCAGGAGACTTACTTGGCTCAAGCTTTTCAGCAAGAGACTTTGATGCTTAAGCACATAGTAATAAATTTTATCTAAAATACTAAACAACATGTTAGCAGAAAAGAGAATAAGGTGTACTTGATACAAAATCAGAGGTACAGGCTAATCACCATAACAAAAACCTTAAGCACTTTAGATTTCTAAGATATTCAATGTTTAAGAAATCTCAAGGCTTTATACAATTTACAACATATAACAAAATTTTTGCATACCCGATTGTGTTGCTTATTATTGATCTTGTTATTCCTCCATCCAGATAGAAGTGTAAAAGACTCATATCCTTCTCTATTGCTTCTTTTCTCTTGTTCCTTGTTGAATATTTTGTTTGAATCTTCAACAACCTATATGTTCATTAGAGATAGATACACCAAAAGATCTTAATTCATTGTATAACTTGTCTAACAATTGCGTCTTCCATGTAATCTTGTACTATAGATTCGTTGAGAGTAGATATCCGTAAAGCATATCAACTCTTCTTGAGCCTTGTGAACATAGACTCTGGATGACAAGCTGATTTGACAATGCAGTTTGCTTTCTGCGGTGCGGATAACTTTACCTTTATTATTAACTCTAAATGTTCATTAGAAGCTGATACATTTACGAAGTGTAGAGACAATATGTTGCTCTTTTGATGCTGAGGCCTTCAGCTTTATAATCTACGCCAAACATCACTTAGAGAATATTCTTCAGATTCTAAACCACCAGAGGCTAGTAACTCAATTTCTCTCAAGTGTGTCCTTATATCAAATTCTGAAAGTATTCTCTTTAAGCTTTAGAACCTGCATACTTGAAAGACACATTAGATAGCATCGTTGTTCACGTTTTTGTTTATTGTCGTTGTCTATTTTCTGTTGCTTGAGTGTTTTGGTTTATGTTTTTTAGGTATGGTGTTATTTTAGAATGGCTTCAAAAGCAAGACCCTTCTTTGATGGAAAAGATTAGAGGCTGCATTGTAGATTCTGCACCAGTTGCGAATCCTGATCCATAGGTAAAGGCGATTTTCAGACTCTGGTGTCCAATGCTGTTTATTTTATTCTCTGGTGCTCGTAATGTTAACCCGGTTTTGTGAAAAATGTTAAACTTTTATGCTAGATTCTGATGTTAATTGTTGATTATCTTTTCAGGTCTGGGCCTCGGGTTTCTCTGCAGCATTTCTCAAGAAGAATAGCATAGCTACAAAAGGACGTGTATCCACGGATGAGTCTGGCATTAAAGTATCAATCAGCAGCAATGAAGATTTAGGACTAAAACCTGCACCAACAGAAGCAGCTTTGCTGTTAATACTAAACAAATTGTTCGAGGTCGTTCTGCATCTCCCTGCAGTGAATTGGTAACGACTCTTAAATCACGCATTAGCTATTGAAAAACAAATCATTATGTAGAAATTTCTCATATGAATAGTTACGGTCCTAACTATAATAATCTTGTCCAAATGCAGGAGGCTCTCTGATGTTTTGAGCATGCTATCTACAAAGCAACCAGGTTGTCCACAATAGTACATGTATAGCTCTGCAGACAGAGTTATTCCTGCCGATTCAGTGGAGTCGTTTGTCGATGCACAGCGTAAGGCTGGACATGATGTGAGGGCTTGCAATTTTGTCTCATCACCCCATGTTGACCATTTTCGAAATGACCCGAAATTGTATACTTCTCAGCTCAATCAGTTTTTAGAGGAGTGTGTTGTTGACCATTGTGAAACTCACTAATTCATTGCTTGGTTCACTCATACAGCATATAGTTTTTCTTTTTTGATTTTTTAGAATAGTTATTCCATTCATGGATGATGGTAGGATTTTCAAAAGTCCACTATTTTAGGGGATCACATAATTGTTCACTGTCAACTTATCACCAATTCATTGATAGTGCAAATGAAAGGCATTGCAAATTGCAAATTTCTGTTGTAAATAATGTATTTATATTTGGTCTATTTCTGTTGCAAAATTTTTGTGTTTTGAGTGAATGATACATTATTGAGGCTTAAAAACTTAGCCATATAATGTATTTATAAACATTGTGTTATATAGGCAATGATACAACAAAGAATATTAATCATAGAGGATTGTGCTAAGGAATAATCTCTCGAAATATATGCTAAGAGAATATGCAATAATATGCTTACATACTATTTCTATATTAATATTTTAATATTAAATATACACTTCCATCCAGATTGAAACATGTAAGTCTAAGTTTTTTTACATATATATTGATGGAATAATGTGCTATTAATAAACTGTATTTATACGATGAATAAACCATATTTATACGATGAATGTTATTTTTTTTATAAATAAAAAATAATAATATTTATAAAAAAAATATTTTTATTTTAAAATAATTTTTATAACATAACATAAATATAAAACTTATCATTAAACGGTTTTATCATTCTATTAATCATAAAAATATAAGTTATTAACAACATATTTTATTTATAATTCATTAACCAAATTTATTACTTTATTAATCAATAAATTACATAACAATAACAAATATTTGACACTAAAATTTAAAATATAATAATCAATAAATTACATAACAATGACAAATATTTGACACTAAAATTTAAAATATAACAATCAGTCTTTACACTCTATTAATCAATTTTATTTGTTTTATTTCATAATTTAATATTAGAACTTGGTTAATAGAGTGTAAAGATCGGTTATTATATTTCAGGTCAGAAATTGGTTAATGTTAGTGATGTTCGGTAATTAAAAGTAAACATGTTATATCATATCCATACGGACTGATGCGATACTACTGTCGTTCAAAAATAAATAATGT